AGTGTTCTTTGCTTTCAGCAAACAAGGTTGTATCATCTGCATATTATATCTTGTTAATGAGTCTTTCTGTAATCTTGATGCCACGTTCTTCATTTAATTCAGCTTTTCAAATTATTTTATCAGCATACAGACTAAATAAGTATGGTGAAAGATACAACCCTGGTGTACAATTTCCCTAATTTTAAATTATTTAGTGCTCACTTGTTCTGTTTGAACCATTGTTTCTTGGTCAAGGTACAGGTTCTTCACGAACACAAGTAAGTGTTCCGGAACACTCATTCTCCACAATGTTGTCCATAGCTTGTCATGACCCACATAATCGAGAGCCTTTGCATAGTCAATAAAGCACAGGTAAACATCTTTCTGGTCTTCTCTGCTTTCAGCCAAGATCTCTCTGATGTCAACATTGACATTCCTTGTTCCAGGTCCTCATCTTAATCAAGCTAGAACCTCTGGCAGTTCACTATCAATGTACTGTTGCAGCCATTTAAAATTATCTTCAGCAAAATATTTCTTGCATGTGATATTAATGATACTGTTGATGATTTCCACATTCCACCTCTCTATGGAATGGACATAAATATAGATCTTTTGCAGTCAGTTGGCCAGGTAGCTGTCTTCTAAATTTCTTGGCAGAGATGAATGAGTGTCTCCAGTGCTGCATCAGTTTGTTTAAAATATTTCAATTTGTATTCCATCAGTTCCTGATGCCTTGTGTTTTTGTCAGTGCCTTCAGTTCATCTTGGACTTATTACTTCAGTATCATTGGCTTTTGATCATATGCTATCTCTTGAAATGGCTGAGCATTGACCATTTCTTTTTGGTACAGTGGCTGTGTGTATTCCTTCCATCTCCTTTGGTGCTTTCTGTTTCAATATTTTGCCTATTTGTTGTTGTTGTTAAATGCCATCGAGTTGTTTCCAGCCCATAGCAACCCTGTATAGGGTTTCCAAGGAGCGGCTGGTAAGCTTGAACCGCTGACCTTGCAGATCATTAACCCACTTTACAGTCCAGCTCATTAACCCACAGCACCGCACTAGGACTTCTAGAATCCTTCAGTACTTCAAGTTGAGGTTTGACATTTTTCTCCAGTTCCATCAGCTTAAGAAATGCTGAGCGTGTTCTTCACTTTTGTTTCATTATAATATTTAATTTTGTCTTCTCAAGCTGACCTTTGAAAATTTCTACTCAGCTCTTTAACCTCCTGATTTCTTCCATTTGTTTTAGCATATCTACATTGGAAAGCAAGTTTCAGAGTCTCTTCTGACACCTGTTTGGGTCTTTTCTTCTTTCTTGTCTTCTTAATGACCTTTTGTTTTCTTCCTATATTTGCTGTTATACCACAACTCTTCTGGTCTTTGATCTTTAGTATCTAATGCATCAAATCTGCTCTTCAGATGATCTCTAAATTCAGGTGGGATACATTTAAGGTCATATCTTTTTTTTTTTAATTAAAAAAAATTATTATCCTTTAAAAACATCTGGTCTTTGTATGTTCTTTTTTTTTTCCTTAAATGTTTTATTGTGAATTATGTGATAGTTTACATGGGAGAATATTAGTTTTACATTCCTTCTATTGTATATTGTCTCATTGCCATGGTTACAATCCCCTCCATGCAATCCTTTCCCACATACGCCCCAGGTCTTCAGCACACAGTTGCTCTCCGTCTCTGAATCTAAAGTCTCCAGCTGCTCCATCGCTCCACGTCATCATCTCTGGCTCCATTTCAGGCATCACTGCTTCTCTGGGTAGGGTCCCAGTCTCTGCTCTTCTCCGTTGATGGTCTTAGGGACCTCTGCTCCTAGACTGAAAAGTTAATCACTCCCCTCCTTGCTATAAAACGTCTACCTTTACATTTCGGACCTTTACAATCAGTCCTGATAACAATTATTCACTATTGTATCACAAGAGACCCATCTGCATTTCATTGCATCAGCCCCGCCTAGTCAGATTGAATACTACTCACTGGAGATTCTACCTTCCTCCAGGCCCTCTGGATCTAGGTTCCCTCTTGAAAGCTTGTAAGCCTGTCACTTCTTGCCTTTGTAGCCCCCCGCCCCCCATTTTGGGTAGCCAATGTCCAAGTTGCCCATCCCTGTCTACTCTGTGTGTGGAGGGGGTGGGAATGATTCTTGCTGTAAGGATTTGTTCCCCTTTTGAGCTACTGCTTCCATAGGTGTAGGTCAAGTTCATCAAATTGTATGAGAATACTTTTTTTTTTTTTTTTCCCCTCTTCTTTTTACTTCTGGTTGAGCTCTGATCCTCCAGTCACTGAAGCCAGGATAAGTGGGTATTATCTGCAAGTGTGGGTGTTCTTATGCATATGCCTCTCTTCTTATCAGCTGGGCACTTCACTCTCCACTCTAGTCCTCTGTGGCTATGTTTACAGTTGTTTCTCTTCATTTTGAATTGTGTTCCATCATCAAATGAAGGTTCCGAAGACTTTACCTTATTCATTTCATCATGGTCAAGTCTACTTTGAGGAGGCAGCTCTTCCCCAGTCGTATTTTGAGTGCCTTCCCACGTGAGGAACTCATCTTCTGGCACTGTATCTGACAGTATTCTGATGCTCTTCATCATGTTTCAATATTCAGTATTCTGGTGTTATCTGACAGTGTTCCATTGCTATTCATAAGATTTTCATTGACTAAATATTTGGAAGTAGTCTGTCTCTCCTTATTCCTAGTTTTTCTTAGTCTGGAAATTCAGCTGAGACTTGTCCACTATGGGTGACCTTCCTGGTTTAAAAAATACTGGTGGCATAGCTTCCAGAATCACAGCAGCACACAAGCCACCACAGTTTGACAAATTAATAGAAGAGTAGTGGAAGCTGCTTATTAGACATTGAAAATTAGCTCAACTGGGCTAAAGATATTTAGAAGATTTATTTTAATGTTTAAGGAGCCCTAGGATCCTGGAGGTTATGCATTGGGCTGCTAACTACAAGGTCAGTAGCTCCTCGGAAATCCCATACAGGGTTGCTATGAGTCAGAACCAACTAGAAAGCACTAATAACAATCGCAGGAGAAAGATGATGCTTTCTGCTCCCATAAAGAATTACTGTTAAGGGCCAGGGAGTCAGTTCTCAATCACAGTATCCCTGTAAAGGGTTTCTGAGGAGCGGCTGGTGGATTTGAGCAGCTAACCTTGTGGTTAGTAATCCTGTGCTTATCCTACAACACCACACCAGGACTCCTGTAATAATTTACTGCCTTTATCCAGGGTCGATATGAGTTGGAAACGACATGATAGCACAGTACCACCACCACAATACGGACATTTCTGTTTACTTTTACTTATTTTTTAATTTCCCCCCAAGTTTTGGCTTTGAAACATTTCAAACTTACAGAAAAGCTGTAAGCCTAGAAGAATGAATATCAGTTAACAATAGCAATTCCTCTATTGTTCACACTTTGCCACACTGCCTTATGACTATTTAAATATTGTTGTTGCTGCTAAGTGCTATGGAGTGCTTATCCTACAGCGGCACACCATAACAGAGAACTCTGAAACAGTTTTAAAAATCTAGGCTTCCTCTGAGATGGCGACTGAAAAGATGTTAAACCATTTTCTTTCTTTTCTTTTTTTTTTTTTTTTAACGCAGAGGATGATTTCTTTTTGAAGAGCACTTTGTAAATAACAAAGAGCTGTACATGGAAAGGGAAAATGCTGTTGTGATGATGACCACTAGGGTCAAAGGGTATCATTAATAATCAGAGCTACTGGAGTCCTGGTGTGGTGCTATAGGATAAGCACTCGACTGCAAGGTCGGTTTGAACCACAAGGTCGTTGGTTCAAACTCACCAGCCACTCCTCAGAAACCCTATACAGGATCACTATGAGTCAAAACTGACTGGACGGCACTTAACAACAACAATAACATTGATACTAAGCAAGCAACATATGCCAGGCTAATTAATCTTTTAATCTTCACAACCACCCTGTGAGAGGAGGACTGTTATTACTTGTGACAAATGAGGAAACTGAGGCTTTGAGGGGACCCAGGTTACATGGGGAAGAGGTGACAGAGGTAACAACCTTGGTTGCTGGCTAGTACCTCCAGCCTTTAGAACCAAAGCCCACCAGAGAAAACCCGGAGACCTGGTTTAGGTCAGCTACCACTCAATAAGCATCCTGCAGAAGGGGACTAATATCTTTCATCAAAGGCTGGTGGGGATACCTTGAGACCTTGCCATCTAGAACAACACTGAAAAATGTATTTAGTATTTTTTAATTTGATGTAGTAGAATGCTTTCTCTAAAAACTGCATAAATCCAATTTTGAGAATCAGAGTTGGGACTCTGTGGTTGAATTTGGGGACAGAGGTGGCCTGAGGCTCCTCCAGGGCTCCTAGAGCACTTCTTGAAGTCCACTTATCCAAGAAATAAGCATTTACTATAATAAACGAAAAAGAGGAAGACCCCCAGTGAGATGAATTGGCACAGTGGCAGCAGCAATGGGCTCAAGTGTGACAGTGATTATGAGGATGGCACAGGACCGGGAAATGTTTCGTTCTGTTGGTCATAGGTGGGGTCGCTATGAGTCAGAACAGGCTTGATAGCACTTAACAACAACACTATAAGAAGCACAAGAAGTGCCATGATGCCTAAAGCTCTGCATTTGGAATCCATAGAACTAGTTGGGATTCTGGGGAACTCACTCAGATTAGTGGGTCTGGATGAGGGCTGCAGCTTTCCAGACCTGCCACATGTATTGGGCCTGGTGGCAGGTCCATCAGAGCAGGACATCACCATCCTCGCCCTCCTCCCTAGTCATGACCTTCTTATTCATAAGGTAAGAAATAGCCTCACCATCTTACATTTAACACATTTAAGTTTTTTAAAAGGTTAGTTCTAAACGACAACAACCTCACCCCTTTCTTTCCTTGCCCTTACAAAAGAAGTCTGTTGTTTTCTATGGACAGCAGTAGAACATACAAGTTCAGTGTTGGAATTAGGGCAATGGTAGGTCTTGCAGTCCGGGATAGCTCACACTGACATCAATGGGCTTTTTCCTTGTAGACATTAGGAATCATACCCATTGGTGAGTTGACCATTTTCACAGTGTTCTTGCTATACAGCTTGTACTCATAGAGGATCAGTTGTTCCCAGAAGCCATTATTAGGCCGGATGATGGGTCGGCAAGACTTGGTCCAGGTGTGGGCATCCAGCAGCGACATAGCGTGGTGTTTCATTAGGTAGGCAAGGCAAAGGGCAGCAGAGCGGCTCACACCCGCGACGCAGTGTATCAGTGTGCGGCCTTGTTTCGTCGCCACGCAGTGGATGTGGTCAGCTATGGGGTCAAATAAGTCCAAGAGGTTGGAATTACAAGCATCAAAAACGGGAAAACGCATATATTGGATGCCTTTGTAGTAGATGTTCTCCACCTCCACTGACACGTTGATGATTGTGGTGATACGGTTGCTGGTTAACATAACCTTGTTATTAGCAGCCACACCGCTGCTGATGTACAGGCTGTTGGTGATCCGAGACAGGCCTCGGACTGAAGGTTGCTGTAACTGGGCTTCCGTCATCTTGGCAGCAGATCCCAAGACTCTCAGGGCAGGTCTGTTATGGTCACCACTCCCGGGAACTGGCAGGTTTGTTCAGGAAGCCGCGCTATCGTGAAGTCTGGGGGGAGGGGGTGGGCGTGGAGGTGGGGGCAGGACAGGAGGACAGAAGTTGGAAGGGTCTTGACCTAGCATCATCGCAATTGTCAACCCCAGGCATTCTGGTTTCCATGGCAATGGCCACTTACCGAGGGGAGTCTCTTAGGCCACTGTGTGTTCAAGTTCTTCTGAGAAACACCTAGCCCCTTTCTTTTCATCTTTATAATAGTTTCTTTCACAAACCCTATTTCTCATTTTTTCTTTACTTTAAAAAATTTTCTGTTACAAGGTGTCTATTTTATGCTGAAATTGTTGGATCACACGGAGCACAATGTCTCTTAATGCTTCCATTTCATTGGTGTTGAAGAACAGGGCACACACTTTTCTGCTTGCAAAGTTGTTGGTTTAAGTGCCGTCGAATTGGTTCCGACTCATAGGGCCCTGTACAGGGTTTCTGAGGAGCTCCTGATGGATTGGAAACGCTGACCTTGTGGTTCGCAGTCCAGTGCTTACCCTACAGTGCTATACCAGAAATTTGTTGTTGTTCAGTGCTATCGAGTTGGTTCTGACTCATAGCCACCCTGTATAGGGTTTCCAACCAGCGACTGGTGGATTTGAAGCACTGACCTTGCAGTTCAAACCGACCTTGCGGTCCAGTGTTTATCCTACAGCGTCACGCGTCACGCGAGGACACATATTGCACGTTAGGAAACAGCATTTGCATCATGTAATATGCTAATCTCTATAAAACTGCAGCCGAGATAGGAGTTTGACTGGGTTTAGTGGGCTGGCTTGACACCTCTTTGCTGTTTGTAGCCATAGAATTATGCTCTTACTTGTAAACACCTTAGGGCTAACTTTCAGAGAGCATTGCTAACTGATATATAGCCCTTTACTGGGAAGTTGCTCTGTGGTGGACAGTTGTAACTAATTTAGCTGTGTCATAGTCTGTTTGTATATTTCAGCCCAAATGCTTTATCATTTTTTCTACTGTATTACCTGAAACAAAAAGCTTAAATTACCTTATGTGTGCTTTCTTTGAAAAAGAATACCCATATGCTTTGTAAACTACATGTCACTTTGTCCATAACTGATGGCTTTCCAGTACTACGAGCATTTTTGGAACAAGTCAATACTGTATCATAAATGGCCCCCAAATTTATTTTTTTAAGGTATTACCGGGCACTTGTATTTTTCCTCTCAGCTAAGAGTTTTGAGTAGTTTGACTAAAAGTTAAAAAAGAACTGTAAACTGAGTAGCCAAGGCACATATTCGTCATCATTTTGGTTTGTGTGCCAAAGGTGGGCTCTGTGCCTATGAACAAAGATGAAACAGATGCCAGCACATTTATCAATGGTCAAAAAATGATTACCTCAAACTATCAAACCTTTTCTTTTATCTCTGTTATAATAATAAAATGATTTTCTATAACTTAAATTGTCATTCCCCACAAACACAATAAAAATGAAAGGTCCTTATTGTTGCTGTTGTTTAGTGCCATTGAGTTGGCACTGACTCATAGTGACCCTATGCATAGCAGAACGAAACACTGCCAGGTCCTGGGCTAACCTCACAATTGTTGCCATACTTGAGCCCACTGATACTGCCACTTTGCCAATGCATCTCGCTGGGGGTTTTCCTCTTTTTCTCTGACTCTCCACGTTACCAAAAATGATATCCTTCTCCAGCAACTGGTCCCTCCTGATAATATGACTAAAGTATGAGAAATGAAGTTTGGTCATCCTGGGCTCCAAGGACTTTTTTCTTGGCTGTACTTTTTCCAACACAGACTGGTTTGTTCTTTTGACAGTCAATGGTACTTTTAATATTCTCCTCCAACACCATAATTTCAATGCACCAATTTTTCCATGGTCTTCCTTATTCACTGTCCAACTTTCATATGTATATAAGGTTATTGAATATACCATGGCTTGGGTCTAGTGAACCTTGGAGTCCTCAAACTTAATCTTTGCTCTTGAACACTTTAAAGACATCTTGTGCAGCACATTTGCCTAATGCAGTACATTATTTGATTTCTTGACTGCTGCTTCCGTGAGTGTTAAGGGTTGATCCGAGCAAAATGAAGTCTTTGATAACTTCAATCTTTTCTCCACTAATCTTGATGTTGTTTACTGGGCCAGTGGTGAGGAGTTTTGTTTTCTTTACATTGAGGTGCAACCCATACTGAAGGCTGCCATCTTGGATCTTCATCGGTAGTTATTTTAAGTCCTCTTCACTTTCAGCAAGCATGACTGTACCATCTGCATATCACAGATTGTCAGTAAGCCTTCCTCCAATCCTGATGCCACATTTTTCTTCATATAACCCCATTGCCAGTAATTATCAATACATTTTGACTTCATAGTTAATCTATTTCAGATTGAAGAAGTTGGTAGAATTCTTCAATTTCCTCATCTCTGGTTTTAGTGGTTGGTGCATGAATTTGAATAATAGCTGTATCACTTGGTCTTCCTTGTAGATGTATGGAAATTATCCTATCACAAGGATATAATGAAAACCGAATATTTTTTAAACTATCATACAGTGATCTTGTGGTCCTAACTCCATTTGATTCTTTCTTTACAAGTTTGGATCCTGGTTTAAGAACAGCAACACATAGAATAAGTTCCAAATTCTTCGTTAGGATCCAAACAAGTTGAATATTCTTTGGGTCTAGAGTGAAAATATATCTTTACCTTCTGTATCTGTGGTCCTCAAGCTTAAATGTACATCAAAAAAAAAAATTTTTTTTTTCAAACAAATTGTTGAGTACCACATACAAAGTTTCTGATTCAGTAGTTCTTAGTGGTTTCATGAATTTTAAATTGGAATGAATTCCCAGGAGATGACAATGTTGTGGATCTAGGAAACACATGTTAGAATAATATTATATCTGAATCAAAGACATACTTTAAAGCTCTCCCATTGCAATAGAAAAGAAAATAAGGAATTCTGTTATTGAATACCCATGAAAGACTGTCAAAAGAACAAATGTGAAATTTAGAACCCTGACTGCCATGCTGTTGTTTGTTATTAAGTGTTATCGAGTTTGCTCTGACTCATAGCAACTGTATGTAGGGTTTCCAAGGAACAGCTGGTGAGTTTGAACTGCTAACCTTGAGGATTGCAGTGCTGATCCTACAGCACCACACTAGTATTCTGAGACTGCCAGAGAAAGGTTTATTTTGGAAGGATAAAAATAATTTCCCACTTAGTATAATTGAACATTTGAAAATAAAAATTTTAAAAAGGTATTTAATAAGCAGCTAGCAGTGGTATTGTTATTCTGTGCATAAAAGGGTACATCCTGCAGAAATTTTCTGCTAGCTAGGCATAAAGTAAACCATTCTCAAGAAATATCTTGATGGATTAGCTGAGCTATATTTTGACTTCCTTCTGTTCTGTGGTAGGGAAAAAAGTGCTGAAGCATGTATGTAACTCTTATCTTTATTTTTTCTTAATACAAACCTGATGCCTTCAAGCATTTCGCTGAATATCTGTTGTAAGAAATCAAAGAGGCATTGAAATATTGCTTCTTACAATGATCAAATCAAAGCAATAGCAGTTGTACCATAGGGTACAGTCTTTTCTTATATATAGCTACATAGGTCGTAAGAGAAACAGCCTGTTTTCTTCAAGATTCAGAAGGAGTTGTGTATGAAAAGAAGATTGTGGCAGGGCCTTAGACCTTAGCTACACATTGCTGTTGTTGTTATTAAGTGCCATCAAGTTGGTTTAGACCCATAGCAACCCTGTACAGGGTTTCCAAGAAACGCTGCTGGATTTGAACCGCTGACTTTGTGGTTTGTAATCCAATGTTAATCTTATAATGCTACCATAAAAACAAAAAAAACCCTCCAAATTCTGGCTTCACTCTCCCACCCCCAACTGGTATCAAGTGAATTCCAACTCATTGTGGAACTGCTCCTTAGAATGTTTGAGACTGTCAATCTTTTATGGAAATAAACTACCACATATTTCTTCTACAGAGAGCTAGCTGGTGCTTTTGAACTGCTGAGCTTATGGTTAGAAGACCAATGCTTAGCCCAGAGCACCACGAGGACTCCTTGGCTTCACTCTAGATCAATTACATCAGTCTTGGGCTAAGAATGTTGTCTCAGTGGTTAAGTTACTCAGCTACTAACCAAAATGCCAGTAGTTTGAACTCGCCCTACCAAGACTGCAGGAAAAAGATGTGGCAGTCTGCTTTAATAAAAGGTTGTTGTTGTTGTTAAGTGCCATTGAGTCGGCTCTGACTCATAGCGGATCTGTATAGGGTTTCTAAGGAGCAGCTGGTGAGTCTGAACTGCCGACCTTGCAGTTCAAACCAACCTTGGTGTCAAGTGTTTATCCTACATCGCCATATCAGGACTCCATAAACCCTTGGAAGCCATATGCGTCAGTTCTACTGCCACATAGGGTAACTATGAATTGAAATTGACTTAATGGCAGTAGGTTTGGTTTGGGGTTTGGGTTTGGGACTGAGACTCAGGAATCAGTGTTTTTAAAGCTTCTGAGCTGATTCCTCTGAGCAGGTAACCTTGAGAATCAGTGGTCTAAAAAGAATAGAAGTCATTCTTTCAGACAACCCTCTTATGACCTGTGAGACATATGCTGTTGTTGTTGTTGAATGCCCTTGAATTGGTTCCTACTCATAGAGACCTGGTATAGGGTTTCATAGGAGCTACTGGTGGATTTGAACCACCAACCTTGTGGCTAGAAGTTCAGTGTTTATCCTTCAACAACATACCAGGACTCCATTTGTTGTTGTTGTTGTTGTCAGGTGCCATCGAATCAGAATCGACTCATAGCGACCCCATGCACAGCAGAACGAAACAGTGTCCGATCCTGGACCAACCCCACTACTGCTGCCACATTTGACGCCATCAATGATGCCACCTGGCTGATCCATCTCGTTGGGGGCCTTCCTCTTTTTCTCTGACCCTCCATCTTACCCAGCATGACATCCTTCTCCAGCGACTGTTCTCTCCTGACAATATGTCCAAAGTATGAGAGACGAAGCTTAGCCATCCTGGCCTCCAAGGAGCACTCTGGCTGCACTTCTTCCAAAATAGATCTATTGGTTCTTTTGGCAGTCCATGGCACTTTCAGTATTCTCCTCCAACACCACAACTCAAAGGCATCAATTCTTCTACGGTCTTCCTTATTCACTGTCCAGCTTTCGCATCCATATGCGGTTATTGAAAATACCATGGCTTGGGTCAAGCGCACCTTAGTACTCAAGCTGACATCTCTGCTCTTCAACACTTTAAAAAGTTCCTGTGCAGCAGATTTGCCCGTTGCAATACGTCATGTGATCTCTTGACTGCTGCTTCCACGAGTGTTGATAGTTGATCCAAGAAGAATGGAGTCCTTGACAACTTCAATCTTTTCTCCGTTGATAAGAATGTTGTTTATTGGTCTAGTGGTGAGGATTTTTGTTTTTCTGACATTGCCATGCAACCCATACCGAAGGCTGTGTTCTTTGATCTTCATCAGTAAATGTTTCAAGCCTCTTCACTTTCAGCAAGCAAAGTTGTATCATCTGCATATCGCAGGTTGTTAATGAGTCTTCCTCCAATCCTGACACCACGTTTTTCTTCATAGAACCCAGCTTCTCGTATTATTTGCTCAGCATACAGGTTGAATAAGTATGGTGAAAGAACACAACCTTGTCGCACACCTTTCCCAATTTTAAAACATTCAGTGTTCCCAGGGCTCCATAGGAGTTGTTACATTCCGTCAGTCGGTTTCATCTCATAGTGACCTTGTATAGGGCTTCCAAGGAGTGGCTGGTGAGTTTGAACCGGTGACCCTCTGGTTCAAACTAACCTTGTGGTCCAGTGCTTTATCCCACAGAGCCACTCGTGGGACATATGTTGTTGTTGTTAAGTGCCGTCGAGTCGATTCGGACCCATAGCGACCTGTATTGAGTTTCCAAGGGTGCAGCTGGTCCCACCTATATTTTGGGTCTCTGGGATCTAGTGGGAAGCTGCTTTTACCTCTTGTAGTGCATGTAGGATAAGCACTGTACTGCAAACCATAAGGTTGGTGGTTCAAATCCACCAGCTGCTCCTTGGAATCCCTATACAGCATCACTATGAATCAGAATCCACCAAAAGGTACTTAACAACAACTGTGCATGCTGCCCTCTGGTGGGCGCCAGTATAACTGCATGAATTTGAAGAAATTTCAGGTTCTATGTACTGCTGCGGGTTAAAGCTTTGGACTGTAAAGTCGGTTTGAAATTCAAGGTCGGCGTTTCAAGCTCACCAGCCGCTCCTCGGAAACCCTATACAGGGTCGCTACGAGTCGGAACCGACTCGACGGCACTTAAAAACAACAACAAAAATTGTATCCTGTATTCCTGGTGTAGCGCTGTGAGTTAATGCACTGGACTGCAAGGTCGATTTGAACCGCAAGGTAGGAGGTTCAAGTTCACCAGCCGTTCCTTGGAAACCTTATACATGGTCGTTATGGGTTGGAACTAACTCGATGTCACTTAACAACAACAACAACAACACTGTGGCACTGTGGGTTAATGCGCTGAACTGCAAAGCCAGTTTGAACTGCAAAGTTGGCTGTTCAAGCTCACCCGCCGCTCCTAGGAAACCCTATACAGGGTCCCCATGGGTCGGAACCGATTCGACAGCACTTAAGAGCAACAACAATTGTATCAAGAAGTCCTGGTGTGGATCGGTAGGAAAAGCACTAGACTGCAAACCATAAGTCTGGCAGTTCAAACCCACCAGCCACTGCTTGGAAACCCTATACAGGGTCACTCTGCATTGGAACCTATTCGATGTCACTTAACAACAACCACAAGCTAACTGCAAGGTCGGTGGTTCAAACCCATGAGCTGCTCCTTGGAAACCCTATACAGTGTCACTTTGAGTCAGAACTGACTTGACAGCACTTGACAAGAACAATAATTGTATCAAAATCCATATTATCTCTAGAAAATATTTTAATTTCATTCTAAGTGTCTTCCATGACTGAAAACACATGGCTTCACAAAAAACTTAAAGCAGAAAATAATTTGGTCTTGACGTTCAAAGTGTTACATGCTGTATTCCAGCAGCAGCAGAATGCCATTTTGCATGAAGTAAGGCAACTGTAAGTTTCTAAATATGTGTTTTAATAAATTGAAACAATTTCACTAAATCTATTTATGCACTTGAAAAAATATTGAGACTATATTTTCATTTCCATAATGGCACGGGTGATGGAGAGCGGTCAAAGAAAATAAAGCATTTATCCATTCATTCTAGAATGGATAATAAAGGAAGCCAAACACTCCTCTTTGCATTTCAAAAACCAGTACCCATGTGGAAAGGAGCCCTGATGACTCACTGGTTAAGTGCTTGACTGCTAGCAAAGAGTTTGGCTGTTAGAACCCACCAGTGGTCCCGTGACAATCTGCTCCTGTAAAAAGGACAGCCTAGGAAACCCTATTGGGCTGTCCTACTCTGTCCTACCGGATCACTGTGAGTCAGAATTGACTCGATGGTACACAGAAACAACCCATGAGGATTGTGGAGATAAGGTTGAGTGCTTGGGTTGGGAAATGATAAGGTAACGTATTTCAAGACTGAGAAAAATTCCTCGAGACTGAGCGAGAAGAAAAGTAGCTGAAGAAAAATTATGAGAGAAGAGTGATCACTGGAGACTAGAAGGAGCAGGAAAGTCTTGGGAAGACTGTCCAGTTAGAATTGAATATCTGTGTAGTGCAAACAGCCATATCTTTGGGCATCACTTAGCTGCACAATAGCCCTGTTGAATTTCAGTCATCAGTACTCAGTGATCAATCCTCATTTTCAACGCATTCATTGCCTGGGTCCTGGGGTTCAACAAGTATCTACGGAGGGCTCCCTTTCAATAGTAAACATCAGTTCACTCAAAGACTTCCAGTTGAGGCATGTAGCCTTTTTATGGTTCACGTCCAAATTCCTTGCTATGGGTGTTGTTGTTGTTAAATGCCATTGAGTCAGTTCCAACACATAGCGACACTGTCGGATTTCCTAGGAGCAGCTGGTGAGTTTGAACCACTGACCTTGCAGTTCAAACAGCTTTGCAGTCTGGCGCATTAACTCACAGTACCACACCAGCACTCCTTGCTACAGGTAAAACCACTGAAATCTTTCAAAACTCTGTTAAGCCTCATCCACCTATTGCCATCAAGTTGATTCTGACTCATAGTAAGCCAATGCAGGATTTCTGAGGCTATAAATCTTTACAGGAGCAGAAAACCTTCTCTTTCTCTTGAGAAGCAACTGGGTGGACTTCAACTGCTGACCTTGTGGTTAGCAGTGCAATGTGTAAATCACTTTGCTACCAAGGTTCCTTGTTAACCCCTGGTGGTGGTGGTGGTTATGTGCTGGGGAGTCAATTCCCATTGTTGCAGCCACTGTGCCAATTCATTTCGTTGATGGTCTTCTTTTTCACAGACACTCTGTTTTATCAAGCATGTTGTATTTCTCCACAG